TGACATCTCTCCTGATACTGCTAGTTCACAGAGGAAGCCTGCTTGTCTCATTTGCCCCCTCTTCTTGGGACATCCATGCTTGATGAGGATAAAGGCAGTAAAAAAAAAAAAGGTATAGGAAGAGACTAACACCTATAAAGGGCAAAATTTTCTTCTTTTTGTAGAGACAGGACAAATAGTCTCTCCCTGGGGGCTTCTCCCCTCCGTCAGTTTTGGTCCTACAGATTCCTGTTTTGGCATGCCTGGGATGCAACACAGCCATGCAAGGAAGGGTGTTGACTGGAGTGCAGATGGGTTGCAGACAGGGCTTGGTCTAGAGAGTTAAGGAGCAGAAGGACTTATTTACATGAGGTTCCCACCTTTTGGTTATCCCTCTGGCTTGGCTTGTGCCTTGGCCTGGAGCCATCTGACATGGTTTGCAGCACTGGGCTGTTGAGGGCTGGCTGAATTGGCTGCCTGGGCCCAGAGCCAGTTTATATGGCTTGCTTGGCTTTGCACTGCTTTTCTAGCAGGGTGAGCTGTAATATGTGTCTCCTGTCATGAATCAGACTGTAGGTATGGATAATTCTCAAACCAGGCATTTGCATGGTTTGAGAACCATATTCAACACTGTTCATGTTCAAAGTTGTTTCATTAAGGAATTATTCAACTTTTATTCCTTTATTCAACTTATTACTCAGCAAATTTTCATCCTTATTAGTAGGTTTAGCATGGGGATTGTGTCCCAGTGTGATCAAACAATATCTTAAATCTTTAATTGCCAGATTCCATCTCTCTTTTCTGAAATACACAACACTACTAAACCACCACTTTGGTAAAATATTGTAGCACATGTTTGGTGTATTTTTAAGTTCTTTTGAAGTCAATGTCTAAGTGCTTTGCTGAATCAGGGCCTAAACCAATAACAGCTACAAAATTAAGCCACTTTATTTTAGAATGAGTGTTTGCACAGGAGTTGAATAAGTGTCAGCTCCTTGTCATGACCCCCCAGGTACAGATACCCTCTTAGTTTTACTAAATCACTTGAAACTTTTACAAATTGCTGTCTTGCCCTGGGTTGCAACGTCAGGGTCAGACACAAGTGTGGCAGGCTTTCATTTGCAGAATGAGATCAAACTGAAACGGGATATAGGGCCATAAAGGGATTGGCAGCACCTCAAAGAGTGCACAGCTATGATTAGTCATTTCCTATATGCATACTGTATATATACTGTGTATATACACACACACTGGTTTTTTTTTTACCCCTCGATGTAGTGAAATGAATACTGTGCTACAAACATGATCCTCGCTGGGCTATTAAAGAGTCATGGAAACTTTTAATTCTCCTGTTAGAAGAGGGTTGTGGTATACTGTGGGTAATGGATCTGATGCTGAAATTGGGGAATAAAACAAGTCCACAAATAACTGATCTTAGACCTGCAACCTGTGCAGTCCCATTGTAACTGGGGAGATCATATGCTGGGTCAGCTCCTTTGCTATTGTTTGCAAGGCTACAATATACTTTTGTGCTGCTTGCTTTGATACCCCAATCCTAGCAAAACATGCAGTGAGGCAAAACTGAAGTTAACATGCCACTGAAGTCAGTGGAAGGTTTAATCACTTCAGTAAAAAGTGCTTTGGGGGTCAGAGGTGTTATCTTGTGCTACTCACTTTACTGCTGTGCTCTTATACCGTCGTGTTGGAGTGTTAACCACAAAGGCCAGTGCTGTGTATTGTTAATTCAAAGAACTCAGTAGTGCTGTGGGATTGATTCAGAAGGTATGCTGGCTGCTGTCCTGCATGTCATTGTCTTGTCCCACCTGGTAGTCACAGAATGCCCTATGCAAAAGTACTGAGTGCTGAGTCTCTAAAAGAAGAGCAGAGAACACAGTTCTTGTAGTGTGCTTTATATTATGAGCTGACTGGGGCCTTTTCCCTTATTTCCATACCTATGCAAGTCACTGCCTGGTGATGAGGAAGTGCTGCTCCCAAGCTCCCACTCCCAGTGAGGTCAGTAGGAGCTGCAGGCACTTGCAGTACTGTTGGGTTAAAAATACAGTGGGACAGGGTACTTAAATGTCACTGTTTGTTGTTGTGTCTTAAATTACTGAATTTGAAACAAAAACATATGAGTTGAGGTCACTGAAAAGACTGTAAGTAAATGTGTAGAGATAACATGCGAGGAAGAGAAATAAGGTGGTCATCTTCATTGTGAGAGGGGAGAAAGTTATTTGAGAAGGAGAAAAATCCTAAGTAATTCTACAAAAGTATTTTTATGTGGAATTTAGTTTTATTTTGAAAAGGCAAAGAAAAATGTTACTGAAGTTGGTGTAGTGACTAATTTCTGTTTACACCTACCAGAGATTTGTCCTGCTGTTGTGGGCAGCTTAGTCTGTAGCTCGTCTCCGGTTTTGTCTTTTCGAATCCCAAAGTTGATGTTGTATTTTCACCTACTGAAAGCGATACAATTTCACGAGTCATTTAGGAACAAGTCTGACTTTTTTCCTCTCCTGTTGCTGATGATGGCTACTTGGCTTGGAAAGGATTCAGTAAAGAATCTCAGGTCATGCAGCTTGTGGGGAGAGCAGTTCATGTTTCCTTTTCCAGTCTCCAGGGCAGGGACGCCAGGTGTGCCCCGGTGAGGGCTCTCCCTGTGCAGTAATCCTGCTCAGTGCATGCCCTCTCCTGTGTGTGTCACGTGGCTGCTGCATCCTGTGCCTGTGGCCATGGAGCATAGGAAGGAGTGTGTTCAACCAGACAGAAATGGGAAGTGTATCGGAAATAAGAAACTAAACATCAGCTGTGTGTGAGTAATGGATTGTCTGTCTCCTGCAGGGGATGAGGGTATGTGCTCTGATGCCTTTTGATCCCAATGAAGCCGTGACACTGTAATTAATGTAATGTCAGCTGTTCACCTTGTCCTCTGTTTATGACCCCAAACTCTGTCCGGATCCTAAGTTGTGTTCTGAGGTATTCATGTGCTCAAATAAGAGCCCAGTGAGAAAAGAGAAAAGCGTGGGAATGGTTCTTGCTTTGCTGGGGTCAATTGGAGCAAAATACGTCACCTTTTGGGAAGGAACAGATTAGCAGTATATTCATGAGGCTTAGAATAGAAATGTGCTTGTCTGTGCTTCTGTGGTAGTCACCTGTCCTAGACCAAAGCTCCGGTCATAGTTTTGCTACTGTGCTTTGTTCCTACATATTTGTGTATGCATAATATATTTTAATAACTTTGCTTTGCTTAGAAATTTACACTGTAACTGAGTGTATATTTAATGCACTGAGTATTTGCAATTATTTATAAGTGCTAGCTTACATGCTTCCCCAGATGCTTGCCATATATGCAGATGTGGTCCCTAATGAAGTGCCACAGAGCCTTGTGATAAACGCTGGAGTGGGATGTGATGCAGATGGTTGGTATGTACTCCCATGCTACCAGTAATGGGATCTATAGGAAATCTGAGACCTATCAGCCATTTTACTTATCCATTGATCAGTTCCTAGGTTGGGTTTTTTATCGCCTCCATGTCTTCGAACGCTCCCTCTCAGTGACGTAGTTTAAAACATTACTTTCTCAGGAGGAGCTAGCAGCATCCCCTTTCCTCAGTCACACTGCTGAAACTGTGCCCTCTTGCAGCATGTGATGACTTTACCTCAGTCAAACACCAAAGGGAACTTTTCAGGACAAAAACATGTCATAATTTTTCATATTTGGCTCTCATGGCTCTGCTGGGCTTCACCGATTCATTCTTAAGGGAACTTAGTATGAAATTGCAAATTTGGAGCTTTCATATCTAGGAATTCTTTACTGCAATTTTAGCATCTTCTGGATTCTTGCTGGCTATTTTGTTTATTTATCTACCTGTGAATAGTCTGCACATAGTTTTGGTAACAGTGTAAAATGTACCTCGTGTAAATGCTTTTGTCTGATGTTTTTGTTAGAAAGAGAGGTGGTTTAAGTGTACAATCTGCTGGGAGCCCTGTCACTCACAAAATGTAGAGTTCTCTGAAGTACAGTAAATAATAAGCTGCAGTGTATTTTATATCTAACAATGGCTATGGAGAGTCTTATGTTCCCATAAGACATCTTGGCTATCTCACTGTCTACATCTCTTTTTTTAAGCTCACTTTTGCTATCATATTAAAAACACAACCAGAAGAGTAATATGTTGGAACTCTTTAATTTCCTCGTGTATAAAGCTAGTCATGTTGATCATGTAATGTACATTTTCTTGTGTTCAGCTCCCTAAGTAAGATATAAAGGATTTCATATGGTAATTTTAAGTTTTAAATGCAGGGGTGGAAGGTAGCAGCACAACGAAGTGGTTGACAGAGAAAAAGAAACTGATTTCTCGTTTAGCATGGCATAGGCAGCTTTGCAATTTTCTGTCCACTAGAGGGACTGTTGCTTGTACTGCTCGTTGCAGAACCCAGTCATGCAGTCCCTTCAGTATCTTTTATGAAGTTTTAAAACTTTGAATGACTGACTCCAGTTAAATCCTCTAAAGAGTAAGTCTCCAAGGTATTTCTCAATGTGTACAAAACTTTGGGCACAGTGCTCTTCTCCTGCGTCCAAATAGTTTTTTACTGAATTTTCTTGCTAAATGTTCTTTCTTTTTTAAAAAGTATTTTCTGTTCTCTTGATTTATCAGTTCAGACTTTCTTATGTGACGTTGGTGGGGATTCATTTAGATTTTTTTTTTTTGCCAGGGAAAAAATGTTGTATGTCTTTATTTATGTTTGGAGTAAGTTTTGTTTTGCAACCATGGTGCCAGTGAATATGGTAAACTAATCAGTTCTTGTATTCACAAACGTCATTGAAATGGGTTTCTGCTTTAACTGGGAGATAGCGAGCTTTGGGTAAGGCTGACTTAAACTTATAGTCAGTATGAGAAAAATTCCAGATGTATCTCTGTGTTCTTGTTTAGCTGTTTTTTTTGTTTTTTGTTTTTTTTTTTAAATTTCTGTTTGTTTGTTTGAGTTGCATGTTCCTGACCTGCCCATTTTTCTAATTGCAGAAACATGAAAGAATACAGGAAGTCCTGCATGACCGTGATGAATACCTGTGCTAATTAAGTAACTGGCTTGGTACTGGGAGAACAGCAAGGTAAGCAGTCAGGCCATGTCAGCAGCATTTCTTGTAATCTGCATGATTGTATTTCGACAAAGGCCTTGGTGCTTTCAGATATCAAATTCATAACAAGGGGGGCAAAGATGAATAGCCTGCAGGTTTGAATGCAATAGATTTACTTCTGGTTCAAAGCTTTAGTGACAAAATATCTCTGTTTTCCTTCCTGAGGGGAAAAATGTACGAGTTCTGTGGTCATTTTCTCTTGTTTTAAAAGGTGATATCTCTAATTTCAACAATCGATTCATGACCAAAGATCAGCTTCCTGGGTTGACTCTAGGGAGGGGTTGGAGGAGGGGTGGAATGTTTCAAAAACTTAGCTGATGAAAAGGCATGCTGTTTTGTGGATGCCTCCCAGAATTGTTTAAATCTGTGTGTGTGTGTATGCGCGCGCTTATGAAAAGGGGGAGAGAGAGATCTCCATGACAACTGGCCTGGCCAGTCTGTGTTCTCTGCAATCATTTTAGCTGGAATCAGTGCTGCGAAAGGTCATATGAAGGAGTTATGGGAAGCACAGCAGGTATTAGACGCTAAACCACCGGTTTTCTGATTGCCTCAGATAATAAGACAGAGTTTTTTCTGGGGAATACAAATCTGAGAATGGAGTGGAAAGGGAAATGCTCCAAATTTCAGGTAACAAAAATTGCCTTTTTAATGTTGTGTCGTCCCATTTGTAAAGTTTGATGTTTGGTGGGTTTTCTTTCCATTTCTTTTTTTTCTCTGTGGTGTTTACTCCCAGCCGAGTGTCGGAGTGAGCTTGGATTCCCTAGCTCTGGGGAATGATGTCATGCGGCAACAGTTGGATTCTATTAGCCAGGGAAAGAGGAAACATCCTGCATTTTTTGTTTGGGGGGCGTGTGGGGGGGAAGGGATTTACTTTGCGTCTTGATTGAATCTTGTGCAAAGGCTACAAGAAGTGTTTTGAAAAGAAAAAAAGTTTAGAACTAATTAGCTTTCAGAAAAGATCATTTAGGACCTAGACAGCATCAGTCCTTAAAACCACTGCAACAATTTCTCCTATATGCAAGAAAATGATTATGGAAGTGTTACAGAAACCCGAAGACATTTCTTTCATCTTGAATGTTCCTATATTCATCTTTAATGAGAAAATTAATTACCCTACACTTAAGCAGAGGATTTAGAGCCCTGACGCACTTGGGATCCTTTAACAATTGTTTAGAGAATGTGCTACTGAAGAGTTTCTTCTGGGTTGGGCTCTTTCTCAAACTGCTGCTTGTGAATAGATGATGCTGGCAGCCTTGTTCTTAATAAGGTTTTCAGTCCTAGACTGTGCATTTCATAGCTTTAAACCAGCCTTTTTGGGAGAGGACAGCGGGGAAAGAAAGCAAAAACCTCATAACTTCAGCAATTTGAAAGCGACTCTTCCTCCCCCCTTTTCTCAGAGACTTTTACTAAGTGCTGTATTAAACACCCAGTGTTAGGATAGCACGTGTAGGATTTTATGCAGAAGAATACCTCATGATGAATGTACAACTGCTATACCTTAATGAAAAGACTTGAAACTTTCATATAATCCTACTTTCTCAAGCACCGCAAAAATACCCTGTATCCGCAACCATGATGAACACGCTCGGTCACCTCTGTGCTGTTTAAATCCCCCTCTAGCAGATGCTCATTTCTACTTTTACTCTGCTTTGTTCCCTCCTGTGCGTTTCAGGCATGATCCAAAGCTTGCTGGAGTCCATGGGAGTTTTCCCTGTCAACTTCAAAGGGCTTGGGATCAGCCTCTGCCTGAGAACTTCCCAGCCTCTATTTCAGTCTTTTGACTGCAGGACCAGGCCACAGGCTCTCCATTTTCTTTCTTGAACTTTCCAAACAGAAGGTCTTTTGTGTTCCTCCAAACAATGCCAGGCGCTGCTGACTGGCTTCAGCGTGGCTGTTAACACACGCTGGAGATAATGGTGATGCTGATTTCCCCGTCCTCCGAATATCCTCCTAGAAGGGAAAGTGCCGTGAATGGAAATTGGATCCTTCTATCCCACCTCCCCTCCTCACAGATGGCTGTTGTCTACGGGCGTGTGTGTGTGTGTCTCTGTCTGCAAATTGTTCTTTTTTTTAAAGGCCAGTAATGGCTGTGCTTCAGGGGGAGTGTCCCAGGAAGATTTTAGGGAGAAAATGCTGTTAGAGCTGTGATGTGCCATAGGGCACTCATGTGGGAGAAGCAGGCTGTCCTGGAGCTGCACTGGCAGCTGTCATCTGCAAACTGAGGGCTGATCAGCAGTGTCTAACCCTTTGCATCCCCCTCTTGCCTTCCAGATTTGACCAACTTGATTCTATAAATAAAATATTGCTGCTAGCGAGTATCAGTCACCTGGTTTGGAAAAAAATAGTTTTTCATCTCTTTGTGGAATTGGGAGCAGTTTAATAAGAAATCCTTGTGCCATTCTTGACTAGAAATGAAATATCTGTGGAGCTGGTGTGTTACATTTGAACCATCCCTCTGATTATGAAGGAGCACTGTGATGATTACCCAAGTTTAAGGCTCATTTGCAGGAAAATGTTATTAGTGCCTGAAATTTCTGAGACAGACAAATCTAATGATTTTCAACATCAGAACCACTGCTTTTAAGTGCTTACGTTTTACAGATGATCATCTTGGGAATCCCGAGAGATCTCTGCAAGGTGTTGCACACTGGGCATTCCGAAGGCAGCAGTGGGGGTTTGGTGTTTATCTGTCGTGGGGTGTGATGCAGTGGGAAGCCTGGTGAACTCTCTCCCAGAGTTTCAGGATGAGTGGCATTTCTCTTAATGGTCTGTGCTGTAGCGTTTGCATGTTACTTTGAAAAGTGATACAAGGCATCATTCCCATAGTCCTTTAAGGTAATTTCCATGTGTTCTAGCATTCTGAATGGTTCCAAATGAAGTTTTCATATGTTATACACTATACGCCACTTTACTTTTACATACTTTACTAGTAGGACATTTTTAAAACAATCAGAAATATATTTGTAACTAAAAATATAACGAGATACCTCATAGCTGACCTCCTATGGTTGGGTGTAAATGTAACCAGCAGCACCCAGGCATTGGCACATTAGTTTTTTCATCCATTAGGGGAGGAAACAGTTCCAGAAGCTGGTATACCTGCTGATGCAGGTGGTGTTCTTGCAGGTCTCTGTGCAAGTGTAGCACCTCTGTGCTCAAAGCAGCATCTCTGGACAGGTCTTTAGCTCAGCATTTGCAGTCCTGCTGTGGTTGTCGCTTTTTAAGTGCATTCATTTCTGTATCTCAAAGGCAGTTGCTCTGTGTTGTCCTGACATAAATCTTTTTAGTTCCGTGTGTCCACCATGTTTCTGCCAGTGGCTGTATGTCCACATTGATCTTGTGGTTAGTCAGTGGCTCTGAGGTTTACAGAGATCAATGTAGTTTTTGATGGGATTAGTTGATCTCTGTCTCGTTTTACTTAGAAGAAAAGTGAAGGGACACAGCAGAAATCTTTTTTGTTCTCTCTCCTTGACTGTCTAATTTTTATATTCTGAAGCATAATGTTTTTAATTGCTTGTTTTATCTTGCATAAGATCCTCTTCTGTATAACTCCTTGTACTCCCTCTATCCATAGTGTTGTCTGTAGTGAATTCCAGGTTAATTGCTACCCTGACACATTTCCTATGTGGAAATACACTGCTTTGTGAAAGAGCTGAGGCTATCGAGGACTGACTGTGTATCATTCCATACTTGTTTCTGCTCTTACTCCCTTCTCTAAATAACTCCAGTCCTTTCTATTTTTTTTTTCTTTGGGAAAGTATGTGTGAGACTGGAAAAACCCTGTAGTTTTCTCCATTTCTGCTGTTTTCTTTGAAGTCTGGGTGATCTTCAGAGCACCTGGTGTTACAGCTGTGGACAGATGTATCATGAAATTCTTGAACATGAGATCAGTATTCTTTGTCTGTAACCTTATGCTCACCGTAGGTGGAATTAACTGATTGAAAACAGCAGTGCTGCATGTTTAGAAGAGCTGCTCATGAGGATGCTCAAATCTCTCCTGATTTTTCTATAAGCTAGTTTCAGTTCCAGCAATATGAACCATGAGTTCTCCTCTCATGTGTTGTTTTCTGGTCACGTTAACTGAGTGACTTCCCAAGGTGCAAAATGTGACACACAAAGGTTTGTTCTGAGAAGCTTACACTGGATATGGGTCTGACTACCTTTAATTACAGCAAGAACCTCCCCATGATTGCACTGTCACTGTGCTCTGCAGTGGAGGCTGTCATGAGTGCTAATCAGTAATCTCTCTTCTGCCTGTGCATCTTTGACCCAGTTACTTTGCTGAACTGAACACAGTTCCTGGTGTGACACAAAGCAGACTCTTGGCACAGCCCTGATCACAGAGCAGGGAGAGATCTGGCAACTTTCACACAAATCCATTATAATTAAGGCTTCTGGTCTGGGATTTAAACTACTTCTTTCTATTAAAAGGCTGAGAGGCATTTAAAAGTAATTTTCAGGCTGAAAATGAACCTGCTGATGGTAGAGGCAAAGTCCCCTGTTGGTAGTTGCTGTAGCAGACCTGGAAGAGGCAGGTGCTACTCTCGTTCCTTCATCAGGCTTTGCAAACCTGCTTCCAACCTGAGAGCTTTTTGAACGGAGCCCCCCAGCTGTTCCTCAGTTTCACGTGACAATGGCAGAGTCCCCTAAGCAGTTAGAGGAGTGTTGCACCGTTGACTTTCCTCCAGTGCCAGCTCTTATTCTGAGTTCAAGCCTCATGTTGTATTAATCCTCTGTGCCCACTTGAAGCCAAACTGCTGTAGACAAGGGACTGTTCAAAGGAGTCCTGTTTCCCCATCCTGCCAGGCAGTGCTCCCCCCTGGAAGTTTTCTTCTCCATCCTGTTGCAGTCTGACGACAAGATGATGAATTGCAAGCTAAAACTTCTGCCAATGACAAGAACACAATTTGGCACCCTCTGTGCAGCTGGCATCCAAAGGAAACAAGCCATCAAATTATCCGTGCTCCTGGTCT